CTCTCTCTCTCTCTCTCTCTCTCTCTCTCTCTCTCTCTCTCTCTCTCAATGGTTTTCAGGCCTGGTCCTATTGGCCCTTTCACCACAGCTTTATGATATATGGAAGTATATACGCAATGTTCCTCTGCATCCGCTAATCCGATTCGTCCCTTACGGACACGATTTGATAATCCGATTAGCCTAGGGAACTTTCTCTCTAGACAATTTACATCACTGCGATTAATCCGATTAAAAATCCGATTGCTACACCCTATGCTCCCCGCTTTACGTTTTTGAACGCACCCAGAAACGGTGGCGCCTCGTAGCAGAGACTTTGGAACTACACTCTAATAATCGACCCATTAAAGTTAGACCCGTTATTTTTTAGTTCCGAAGTCTCCGCTACGAGCCGCCACCATTCGATTGTTCATTTCTCAGAGAGATGCTCGTCGTTTGTGATAATCGTTCAGGTCGACAGGTGCACGACGAAGGTGTTGATCCAAGGAAACTGCTCTGTCAATCACTAAGTCCAACCTTCCTCTTCCGGGCTCGTTCGAACGGAAGAGTCGGCAAAGACCACGGTAAGCGAACGAACAGCAAGAGCGACGGCCGGCAGACGACATGGAGGTTGACGAAAACAACGCAATCAGCAATAAGGAGACCCCGGCAACGGCCTCCGGGGAAACGCCGATGGAGATCGACGAGGACACCTCTGAGAGGAATCCTGCTATGTCCACGACCTCAGCGAGCGCTATCAAGGTCATGGCATCTTCCGGCACCGTCGGCTCTGTGTCCATCAGTCTGCATCCATTGGTGATTATGAATATCAGCGAGCACTGGACGAGGCTCAGGGCTCAGGAAGGCAGTGACCAGTTGGGTAAGGTTTTCCTAATCTTGTAGTTTGAATTTCTTTCGGTAAAGTCATTTATAACCTACAATTAGTAGTTTATTATAGTCAGATTGTCATCCATCATATTTAACAGACAGTTGATATAATGGAAACAATGAGTAGAATAATTGTTGGTCATGCTAACATTCAAACTACAGGCTTGTTTTTTAGCTAAATCAGGTTGTTTTGTAATTAGAGAAAAACAGATATATAACCTAAGACTTTTTCAGTCACACTAGGTTGTACTTTTTTCCTTTGAAGTTAAATATATACAACCTATTATTGAAAGAAAAAAGAACAAAGTTTCAGTGCAACATTAATTTAGCTAAAAAGTACAAGCCTTATATATAATGTCTGAAACAATATTAAGGTTATATCATAATTTGTGATTAATTTTTGCTAAGGATATCTAACCAATATTATTTAATCTCTAGTAATTATATACTTTCAGTATATGGTGCTCTGATTGGTAAGCAGAAGGGTCGTAACATAGAAATAATGAATTCCTTTGAATTGGTGTTCACTTGCATCGGCGACGATGTTATAATCGATAGAGATTATTATAATACAAAGGAGGAGCAGTTCAAGCAAGTCTTCAGTGACATGGACTTTTTGGGCTGGTATACCACTGGTGACATGCCCAATGAAAGAGACATCAGAGTGCACAAGCAGCTCTGCGAAATAAATGAAAGTCCTGTACTGTTGAAGCTGGATCCAAGACCAAAAAACACAGATGTAAGTTTATTGATATACAATTGAATAAAGGTAAGTCTCTCTCTTTATCAATTATACTCAAGATAATTCTGCTAAATTGTTACAGCAATTATCAGTTTCCATGTACGAATCAGTAATCGACTTAGTCAATGGTGAAGCCACTATGTTATTTGTTCCATTAACTTATACATTAGCCACCGAGGAAGCTGAGAGAATCGGAGTTGATCATGTAGCAAGGATGTGTAACAACGATCAGGGCGAAAGTTCATTAGGTAATATGCCGTGCGATTTAAAGGAATTCATTTTTGCATTTTTTGACAAAGCAGCAAATTGATGATTAACGATATATAAACTGAACGTGATTTCAGTGGCTGAACATTTAACGGCGCAACACAGCGCTATCAAAATGTTGCACTCGAGAGTGAAACTCGTCTTAAGATATGTGCAGGCTGTACAAAATGGAGAACTGAAAGGAAATCATGAAGTACTTCGAGCGGCTTGTTCCTTAAGTCATCGACTGCCTGTTCTAAATAATCCGAAATTTAGAGCTGACTTTTATAATGTTAGTATATCACTTTTAAAAATACAACTGTTCTTCCTGATTGATGTCAAATAATTTTTCTTTTTCTGTTACAGCAATGCAACGATTTCAGTTTGATGACGTATCTCGGTATCATAACTAAGGGCTGTAATAATATAAATCAATTTGTAAACAAATTCAATATCTTATACGATAGACAGGGCGTGGGGCGACGTTTACGAAGCCTCTTCTTCTGATATGTGAATACAATCTGTTGTTTTTATACGCGTCTTTTTTTACTTTCTAGATAAGTGCCGCGAGCTCAGGACTTAATGAGAGAGAAATTCACACACAGCCAACTTAATCGCGAGGTAGTTTCAATACTACTCTAGATACTGTATCGAACGTAAATAAAACTAAAGAAGTAACAAAAGTTCCGCAGCAATCACTTGAAATATATATATAAAATGTAACGGGGGGAATACGGTCGAAATGGGACCGCGGGGAGCATTGGTTATCTCGTCAGCAATATTGTTCGGAAATAATATTTATTGAATGCTATCTTATACACACACACACACACACACACATACACACACACATATATACACACAAATAGTATGTTTAAAATATTTCTAATTAACAATAAAAAACGTGTGATATTAATAAAAGGAAAACTGTGATGCGTTGCAAAATACGTTTCATTTTGTATTGAGATCGATTTTGGATTTAGTCAAATCTCAAAGGAAAAAAAGATAAAACTTGTAGGCACATCGAAAGAAAAACAATGAATTACGATTGGACAGGAAGATTTCAAGTAGAGGCGAAATTCCATTTGTTCTTTTTGTGATATATAAATTTATTAATATATACTCCACGTATATATATTTTTTTGCACATATATAGTATATATATTATATAGATTTTTTTAAACATTTCTGTCTGCTTAGAATGCGATAGAATGAGATGAAACTTCTCACTGAGAATGAGAGGTTTATCGAGGATATATATAAGTCGTAAAACAAATACTTTCACATGTTTCGCTTTAATAATGGAAGACCTCATTTCTTTTTAGTTGTTTTACACACTACCAAGCATATTCCATTATAGTCCATGTTACTCACACATACCCGAATTTGCAGTTTCATATAGAAGCGGTTTATGTATATAAGTTTTATCTTTATAAAAAAATGTGGTTTGTGTATACATACATATATATATATATTAATTTTATATATATACATATATATATGTATATATATATATATATATAT